TCGGTGTCTGGCCGTGCCTGTCGGTGTCTGGCCGTGCCTGGCGGTGTCTGTCCGTGCCTAGTGGTGTCTGGCCGTGCCTGTCGGTGTCTGGCCGTGCCTAGTGGTGTCTGGCCGTGCCTGGTGGTGTCTGGCCGTGCCTGGCGGTGTCTGTCCGTGCCTGGCGGTGTCTGGCCGTGCCTAGTGGTGTCTGGCCGTGCCTGGCGGTGTCTATCCGTGCCTGGTGGTGTCTGGCCGTGCCTGGCAGTGCCTAGTGGTGTCTGTCCGTGCCTAGTGGTGTCTGGCCGTGCCTGGCGGTGTCTGTCCGTGCCTAGTGGTGTCTGGCTGTGCCTGGCGGTGTCTGTCCGTGCCTAGTGGTGTCTGGCCGTGCCTGGCGGTGTCTGTCAGTGCCTAGTGGTGTCTGGCCGTGCCTGGCCGTGCCTAGTGGTGTCTGGCCGTGCCTAGTGGTGTCTGGCCGTGCCTGTCGGTGTCTGGCCGTGCCTGGTGGTGTCTGGCCGTGCCTGGCGGTGTCTGTCCGTGCCTAGTGGTGTCTGGCCGTGCCTGGCGGTGTCTGGCCGTGCCTGGCCATGCCTGGCGGTGTCTGGCCGTGCCTTGTGGTGTCTGGCCGTGCCTGGTGGTGTCTGGCCGTACCTGGCGGTGTCTGTCCGTGCCTGGTGGTGTTTGGCCGTGCCTGGTGGTGTCTGGCCGTGCCTGGCGGTGTCTGGCCGTGCATGGTGGTGTCTGGCCGTGCATTGCGGTGTCTGGCCGTGCCTGGCGGTGTCTGGCCGTGCATAGTGGTGTCTGGCCGTGCATGGTGGTGTCTGGCCGTGCATGGCGGTGTCTGGCCGTGCCTGGCGGTGTCTGGCCGTGCCTTGCTGAGTCTGGCCGTGCATGGCGGTGTCTGTCCGTGCCTTGTTAAGTCTGGCCGTGCATGGTGGTGACTGGCCGTGCATCGTGGTGTATGGCCGTGCATGGTGGTTTCTGGCCGTGCATGGTGGTGTCTGACCGTGGCTGACGGTGTCTGGCCGTGCCTGTCGGTGTCTGGCCGTGCCTGGCCGTGCCTGTCGGGGTCTGGCCGTGCCTGGTGGTGTCTGGCCGTGCATGGTGGTGTCTGGCCGTGCATGGCGGTGTCTGGCCGTGCCTGTCGGTGTCTGTCCGTGCCGGGCGGTGTTTGTCCGTGCCTGGCGGTGTCTGGCCGTGCCTGGTGGTGTCTGGCCGTACCTAGTGGTGTCTGGCCGTACCTGGCGGTGTCTGGCCGTGCCTGTCGGTGTATGGCCGTGCCTGTCGGTGTATGGCCGTGCCTGTCGGTGTATGGCCGTGCCTGTCGGTGCCTGGCGGTGTCTGGCCGTGCCTGTCGCTGTATGGCCGTGCCTGTCGGTGTATGGCCGTGCCTGTCGGTGTATAGCCGTGCCTGTCGGTGTATGGCCGTGCCTGTCGGTGCCTGTCGGTGTCTGGCCGTGCCTGTCGGTGTATGGCCGTGCCTGTCGGTGTCTGGCCGTGCCTGTCGGTGTCTGGCCGTGCCTGTCGGTGTCTGGCCGTGCCTGTCGGTGTCTGGCCGTGCCTGTCGGTGTCTGGCCGTGCCTGGTGGTGTCTGGCCGTGCCTGTCGGTGTCTGGCCGTGCCTGGTGGTGTCTGGCCGTGCCTGTCGGTGTCTGGCCGTGCCTGGCGGTGTCTGGCCGTGCCTGGTGGTGTCTGGCCGTACCTAGTGGTGTCTGGCCGTACCTGGCGGTGTCTCTCCGTGCCTGGTGGTGTCTGGCCGTGCTTGGTGGTGTTTGGCCGTGCCTGGTGGTGTCTGGCCGTACCTAGTGGTGTCTGGCCGTACCTGGCGGTGTCTCTCCGTGCCTGGTGGTGTCTGGCCGTGCTTGGTGGTGGTTGGCCGTGCCTGGTGGTCTGACCGTGCATGATGGTGTCTGGCCGTGCCTGGCGGTGTCTGGCCGTGCCTGGCGGTGTCTGGCCGTGCCTGGTGGTGTATGGCCGTGCCTGGCGGTGTCTGGCCGTGCCTGGTGGTGTCTGTCCGTGCCTAGCGGTGTCTGTCCGTGCTTGGTGGTGTTTGGCCGTGCCTGGTGGTCTGACCGTGCATGATGGTGTCTGGCCGTGCCTGGCGGTGTCTGGCCGTGCCTGGTGGTGTCTCGCCGTGCATGGCAGTGTCTGGCCGTGCATGGCGGTGTCTGGCCGTGCCTGGTGGTGTCTGGCCGTGTCTGTCGGTGTCTGGCCGTGCATAGTGGTGTCTGGCCGTGCCTGGCCGTGCCTGGCCGTGCATAGCGGTGTAAGCAGGATGAAGATTGCTTGCTCAACTACCGGGGGGGGGGCGAGGCGGCCACAATTACCAGTGAGGAACGTCGCCCACTCAGCTATCGAAATTTAACCCCACCTCAAAATAATAATTCAACCCACCACAAGGAACAGGCAACGGACGAAACCCGTTGATCGAATTCTTTTCCCGAGGCGCGCTTTTTAATATATAAAAAGGGGGGATGAATAACTTTTTTTTTTCTTCCACATACGTTAATATATTGCTAGGGGACATGTTCACGTCGTTGGAGATATATTCACTCATCGTGGACATGTTCACGTCGTTAAAGATATATTGAGTCGTCGTGCACTTCGCTATCTGGTAGCTAAGGTTGTGAGGCGACAACACCAGATTCACGAAACAGTTACGAAAGGACCTACGAACATGGGACCAGATTCACGAAGCCGTTACGCAAGCATTTACGAACCTGTGGCCAGATTCACGAAGCAGTTTCACAAGCACTTACGAACCTGGGCCAGATTCACGAAGAAGTTACGCAAGCACTTACAAACCTATACATCTTTCCTCAATCTTTGACGGCTTTGGTTACATTTATTAAACAGTTTACAAGCATGAAAACTTGCCAATCAACTGTTGTTATTGTTATAAACAGCCTCCTGGTGCTTCGGAGCTCATTAACTGTTTAATAATTGTAAACAATGCCGCCAAAGATTGAGAAAAGATGTACAGGTTCGTAAGTGCTTGCGTAACTGCTTCGTGAATCTGGCCCCCGGTTTGTAAGTGCTTGCGTAACTGCTTCGTGAATCTGGCCCTAGGTTCGTAAGTGCTTGTGTAACTACTTCGTGAATCTGTCCCCAGGTTCGTAAGTGCTTGCGTAACTACTTCGTGAATCTGGCCCCAGGTTCGTAAGTGCTTGCGTAACTGCTTCGTGAATCTGGCCCCAGGTTCGTAAGTGCTTGCGTAACTGCTTCGTGAATCAGTCCCCCAGGTTCGTAAGTGCTTGCGTAACTGCTTCGTGAATCTGGCCCCTGGTTTGAAAGTAGGGGAAGTTGATCCCTGGGTTACCTTACCAGTTAACCTAACAATTGTGAGATCGTTGGGTTGTTTAATGTGTAGATTAGACAAATATCCCTGGAAACACAAACCGAAACTGTCTCTATTTTCCGCTTGTTACAACTTGTAATAAAGTGTTTACATGTTGGCTTAATGTGTTTATGACGTATTAGAACGTTGTTACAACTTGCTATATTGGTTGTTATAACTGGTTAGGAAGTGTTGAAACTTGTTCGAACGTTGTACCAACGTCGTAGTTTCGGTGTGTGTTTGGCGGGATGTGAGTTTGTGGGCCGCAGACTGCTTATAGCTGTAGTTGCCTCGTGTGAGTCAATAGTTTATGGGATGGAAATAGCAGCAATGACTGCCATATATGGTACGCAGGATGATCTTCAGGATCCGACAGGGAGCCAGTCTCCGTGGTGTAATGGTAAGACACTCGCCTGGCGTTCCGTGAGCGCTTTGTCATGGGTTCGTATCCTGGCCGGGAAGGATTTACTGGGCGCAAATCCTTAACTGTAGCCTCTGTTTAACGCAACAGTAAAATGTGTACTTGGTTGTAACAACGATTCTTCGCGGCGGGGATCATATTCCAGGGACTTGCCCAAAACGCTATGCGTACTAGTGGCTGTACAAGAATGTAACAACTCTTGTATATATCTCAAAAAAAAAAAAAAGTTAGGTTTGTATTGTTTTGAGGTTCCCCAAGGTTGAACTACTGACCCTCTCCCCAAGGTGTAACCCCCCAACACACTTATAACAAAATTATTGAAGTAAGGGCAAAGAGGTAGAAAAGCTTGTTGATAGAACCCGAGTGCTTGGGGGAATTATGTAAAACCCTGGTTTGTGTCTCGGAGAGGCTACAGGATCTGAGTGAGGGCAGTAGAGCTCTTGGTTCCAATTCTTTTGACCATGTCATGGTACAGTCGACTAAGGCAGCATCTGGGATCAGGCATAAGTTTGAACCCTCGACACGGCCCTCGTGGATTTGTTCATTTGATATATAGAAGCATCAGGTGACGGAAATTCTGCCCATTTTTTGTGCCTCGACCGGGAATCGAACCCGGAGTGGGAAAGGAGAATAAGAAACACTAATGAATAGAGTGCAGGAGAAGGAGGAGGAAGAGTGGGGGAGGGAGGAGGAGAGGGAAGGGGGGGGGGGTATAGAGGAGGGGGGGTATGGAAGGGGGGGTATGGGGGAGGGGGGGTATGAAGGGGGGTATGGGGGAGGGGGGCCAGAGAGAGATTATTAACTCACTTGATATTACAACGACCTTCAGGAAATGTCGCAACCTCTGTAGCGCACTCTCTCAACTCTCTCTCACTCACTCTCACACTCACTCTCACTCACTCTCACTCACTCTCACTCACTCTCACTCACTCACACTCACTCTCACTCACTCTCACTCACTCTCACTCACACTCACACTCTCACTCTCTCACACTCACTCTCTCACTCATACATCATTCAGAATTCAGAATCAACCTTTCCGAGTCATTCAGGACCTTGTATAACACATACGTAAGACCAATCCTGGAGTATGCGGCCCCAGCACGGAGTCCATTCCGTGTCAAGCACAAGACGAAGCTGGAAAAAGTTCAGAGGTATGCCACTAGACTAGTCCCAGAACTAAGAGGCATGAGTTACGAGGAAAGTCTGTGTGAATTGCATCTCACGTCGTAATTCAGACGCCAAACACTCAGGAAACCTCCCAACCATGGCCCCAGAGACGCCAAACACACAGAAAACCTCCCAACCATGGCCCCAGAGACGCCAAACACTCAGGAAACCTCCCAACCATGGCCCCAGAGACGCCAAACACACAGAAAACCTCCCATCCATGGCCCCAGAGACGCCAAACACTCAGGAAACCTCCCAACCATGGCCCCAGAGACGCCAAACACACAGAAAACCTCCCATCCATGGCCCCAGAGACGCCAAACACTCAGGAAACCTCCCAACCATGGCCCCAGAGACGCCAAACACACAGAAACCTCCCATCCATGGCCCCAGAGACGCCAAACACTCAGGAAACCTCCCAACCATGGCCCCAGAGACGCCAAACACTCAGGAAACCTCCCAACCATGGTCCCAGAGACGCCAAACACTCAGGAAACCTCCCAACCATGGCCCCAGAGACACCAAACACTCAGGAAACCTTCCAACCATGGCCCCAGAGACACCAAACACACAGGAAACCTCCCAACCATGGCCCCAGAGACGCCAAACACACAGGAAACCTCCCAACCATGGCCCCAGAGACATCAAACACTCAGGAAACCTTCCAACCATGGCCCCAGAGACACCAAACACACAGGAAACCTTCCAACCATGGCCCCAGAGACACCAAACACACAGGAAACCTCCCAACCATGGCCCCAGAGACACCAAACACTCAGGAAACCTTCCAACCATGGCCCCAGAGACACCAAACACACAGGAAACCTTCCAACCATGGCCCCAGAGACATCAAACACTCAGGAAACCTTCCAACCATGGCCCCAGAGACATCAAACACTCAGGAAACCTTCCAACCATGGCCCCAGAGACATCAAACACTCAGGAAACCTTCCAACCATGGCCCCAGAGACATCAAACACTCAGGAAACCTTCCAACCATGGCCCCAGAGACACCAAACACACAGGAAACCTTCCAACCATGGCCCCAGAGACACCAAACACACAGGAAACCTCCCAACCATGGCCCCGGAGACACCAAACACACAGGAAACCTCCCAACCATGGTCCCAGAGACACCAAACACTCAGGAAACCTTCCAACCATGGCCCTCCGCAGTTTTCCGCCGCGACAACAACATCGAACTCCCCCGCGAACTAAACTCATCAAAGGTCAATCAAGAAGCTGAGACTGCGAGTTCGGAGATATGATTTCCCGCTCAGCGTCGGCGGAGCGTCGAGACTTGGCGGACCAACTACCGGCGGCGGGGACGGGACGATGTTGTTGGCGATAGTTTGTGAAAAGCGATTGAGAGCAGTTGGCGCCGCGAAGCGTTGAGCAGACTCTCCGCCGTAAGTGCGGAGAGTGACTTGCTGTTAAAAGTTCCCTCTCGGTTATACGGGGCTTTGTCTGCTGGCCTGGCTTGTCTGCAGGCCTGGAGTGGCTTGTCTGCTGGCCTGGAGTGGCTTGTCTGCTGGCCTGGAGTGGCTTGTCTGCTGGCCTGGCTTGTCTGCTGGCCTGGAGTGGCTCGTCTGCTGGCCTGGCTTGTCTGCTGGAGTGGCTTGTCTGCAGGCCTGGAGTGGCTCGTCTGCTGGCCTGGCTTGTCTGCTGGTGATGGAACAGTGACACCCACAGGTAGCTACAGTCACGGCCAGTCCCGTTCCACTCAGCCGGGAGTACAAGAGCCGCGGAACTCTTGCGTCAAGCTCTGCGTCATTCTCTGCGCCTGCGTCAGTCCTCAAGAGCCCCGCACCAGGGCCAGAATTTCGTCAGACATTTAGCCAGTCACTGACGAAACCTGTACATCTTCTAACGATCACGGTGCCATTGTTTATAATCATTTAAGCTCGTAGACTGTTTAATGTAAACAAGAGCCGCCATGATTAAGATGCAGAGATTTCGTAAAGTGGTGGCGTGTTATCCTGATGTATCCTGCCTCAGGGTTCGAACCCTGGAACTTAGGAGGCGAAAGTACACCAAGTACAGCCGCTACACTACAGACTCTGTAATATTCTTGAATGGCTTGGCGTTTTACCTTGAAAATTGCTTTCCCTCCCTTCCTCCCCAACCTCCTTCAGTATTCTTATCTTGCTTCATTATTCTTATCTCTCTCTCTCTCTCTCTCTCTCTCTCTCTCTCTCTCTCTCTCTCTCTCTCTCTCTCTCTCTCTCTCTCTCTCTCTCTCTCTCTCTCTCTCTCTCTCACCAAATCACAGCCTCCGCGGATACATAGCAGTGGACGCAGTCATTAACCTGAGCGAGATGGGGCTATCATTAGGCAGTAGCTGATCACCGCACCTGGGGCTCCTAGCCACCATACCTGGGCCCCCACCACCATACCTGGGCCCCCACCACCATACCTGGGGCCCCCACCACCATACCTGGGCCCCCACCACCATACCTGGGCCCCCACCACCATACCTGGGGCCCCCACCACCATACCTGGGGCCCCCACCACCATACCTGGGGCCCCCACCACCATACCTGGGGCCCCCACCACCATACCTGGGCCCCACCACCATACCTGGGCCCCCACCACCATACCTGGGCCCCCACCACCATACCTGGGGCCCCCACCACCATACCTGGGGCCCCCACCACCATACCTGGGCCCCCACCACCATACCTGGGCCCCCACCACCATACCTGGGCCCCCACCACCATACCTGGGCCCCACGCCACCAAGGCCCCTCTAAACCTGTTGTTTGCACGGGGGAAAAAGAATGTAAATAATGACCCAACCACACATGAGAAAATTGACAAACGACGACGTTTCGGTCCGTCGTGGACCATTATCAAGTCGAGTGACGGTCCAGGACGGACCGAAACGTCGTCGTCGTCTCTCCATCTTCTGGTATGTGGTTTAGTCATTATATCTTCAGCCACGTTATTGTGACTAGTCGTCTGCAAAGACGACAACAACACAGAAATCATCGATAGGTACAGCGATAGCAGGCGACTCGACATCTGCGAGGCACTACACATCAAAAAATCAACACCAGCAATCAACAGCCAATTGATGCACAACTATATTCTACCCACTTCAAGATTCCGTACCAATATAGAAACATCAAGAGGAAGTATGGGCCAATAGGCCCTCACCAATTGCTTCCATTCTTATGCTCTCATATCCAATTTATATCCATTGTTTCGTGTTTTGTCTTGTGTTTGTCACAAGTTTGTTCACCTCATCCAAAACTGTTGTACCATATCACCTCACCCAAATGCGAGTATAAGTATGGACGGATTAGCGTGTTTACAGGTTACAGTTGTGTGTGTAAACTAAAGTCTTTGAAAATGTAATAAGTTATTACGAAACGCGTTCAGGCGTCGCGGCAGACTAGAAATAAAAATGAATTTTGGAGAATTGATTTCTCAATTACCATCGACAGTGAAAAGAAACATAAGAAACATTGAGAAAATTTGTGTTAGAATTATTAATCTTACTTTTTCGGTCATATTTAACAACATATATATATATATATATATATATATATATATATATATATATATATATATATATATATATATATATATATATATGTATATAATATATATATAATATATATATATATATATATATATATATATATATATAATATATATATATATAATATATATATAATATATATAATATATATATATATATTTATATATATATATATATATATATATATATATATATATATATATATATATATATATATATATATATATATATATATATATATATATATATATATCAATGGATGTTAACTTATTTGTTGAAATTATTGTTTATCTATGACAAATCTTGCCAGTTATACAGTTATCTAATTTATATAATTCTGGAATTACGTGAATATTTTCTAATTCACTATTTTTTTATAAATGAAGAATCGGAAATATTTCTTTCAGTGACTGATTTACACTTTCAGTAGTGATTTACACTTTCAGTTCTGATTTACACTTTCAGTATCTGATTTACACTTTCAGTATCTGATTTACACTTTCAGTATCTGATTTACACTTTCAGTAACTGATTTACAATTTTGCATGAATTAACCGAGTCAATTGAATAAGTGAACACATTATGCATCGGACACTCAACCACACCCACCACACAGTGTAGACACTAAGATATACGCACCACACAGTGTAGACACTAGGACACGCCCACCACACACAGTGTAGACACTAGGACACGCCCACCACACAGTGTAAACACTATGACACACCCACCACACAGTGTAGACACTATGACACACCCACCACACAGTGTAGACACTATGACACACCCACCACACAGTGTAGACACTATGACACCCACCACACAGTGTAGACACCAGGACACACCCACCACACAGTGTAGACACTAACACACACCACACAGTGTAGACACTAAGACACACCCACCACGCAGTGTAGACACTAACACACACACCACACAGTGTAGACACGAAGACACACCCACCAGACAGTGTAGACACCAGAACACACCCACCACACAGTGTAGACACAAAGACACACCCACCACAGTGTAGACACCATAACACACCCACCACACAGTGTAGACACTAGGACACCCCCCCACGCACAGTGTAGACACCAGGACACACCCACCACACAGTGTAGACACCAGGACACACCCACCACACACAGTGTAGACACCAGGACACGCCCACCACACACTGTAGACACTAAGACACCCACCACACAGTGTAGACACTAAGAGACACCCAACACATGGTGTAGACACTAGGACACACCCACCACACACTGTAGACACTAAGAGACACCCACCACACAGTGTAGACACTAGGACACACCCAACACATGGTGTAGACACTAGGACACACCCACCACACAGTGTAGACACTAGGACACACCCACCACACACTGTAGACACTAAGACACGCACACCACACAGTATAGACATCAGGACACGCCCACCACACACAGTGTAGACACAAAGACACGCCCACCACACAGTGTAGACACTAAGACACACCCACCACACACAGTGTAGACACTAGGACACACCCACCACACACAGTTTAGACACCAGGACACACCCACCGCACAGTGTAGACACTAGGACACGCCCACCACACACAGTGTAGACACTAAGACACACCCACCACACAGTGTAGACACCAGGAAACACCCACCACACAGTGTAGACACTAAGACACACCCACCACAGTGTAGACACTAGGACACACGACACAGTGTAGACACTAGGAAACACCCACCACACAGTGTAGACGCCAGGACACACCACACAGTGTAGACACTAGGACACACCCACCGCACAGTGTAGATATTAGGACACACCCACCACACACAGTGTAGACACTAAGACACGCCCACCACACACATTGTAGACACCAGGACACACCCACCACACAGTGTAGACACCTAGACACCCACCACACAGTGTAGACACTAAGACACACCCACCGCACAGTGTAGACACTAAGACACACCCACCACACAGTGTAGACACTTAGACACCCACCACACAGTGTAGACACTTAGACACCCACCACACAGTGTAGACACTAAGACACACCCACCACACAGTGTAGGCACCAGGACACACCCACCACACAGTGTAGACACTAAAACGCGCCCACCACCACACAGTTTAGACACTAAGACACACCCATCACACAGTGTAGACACTAAGACACGCCCACCACACACAGTGTAGACACTAGGACACGCCAACCACACACAGTGTAGACACTAGGACACGCCCACCACACATAGTGTAGACACTAAGACACACCCACCACACAGTGTAGACACCAGGAAACACCCACCACACAGTGTAGACACCAGGACACACTCACCACACAGTGTAGACACCAGGACACACCCACCATACACTGTAGACACCAGGACACGCCCACCACACACAGTGTAGACACTAAGACACACCCACCACACAGTGTAGACACTAGGACACGCCCACCACACAGTATAGACACTAAGACACGCCCACCACACACAGTGTAGACACTAGGACACACCCACCACACAGTGTAGACACTAGGACACGCCCACCACACAGTGTAGACAGTAAGACACGCCCACCACACAGTGTAGACACCAGGACACACCCACCACACACTGTAGACACCAGAACACACCCACCACACACTGTAGACACTAGGACACACCCACCACACACAGTGTGGACACTAGGACACACCCACCACACAGTGTAGACACTAGGACACACACACACCACACAGTGTAGACACCAGGACACACCCACCACACAGTGTAGACACTAGGACACACCCACCACACAGTGTAGACACCAGGACACATCCACCTCTCAGTGTAGACACTAAGACACACCCACCACACAGTGTAGACACTAGGACAAACCCACCACACAGTGCAGACACTAGGACACACCCACCACACAGTGTAGACACTAGGACACACCCACCACACAGTGTAGACACTAGGACACACCCACCACACACAGTGTAGACACTAGGACACACCCACCACACACAGTGTAGACACCAGAACACACCCACCACACAGTGTAGACACTAGGACACACCCACCACACAGTGTAGACACCAGGACACACCCACCACACAGTGTAGACACTAGGACACACCCACCACACACAGTGTAGACACTAGGACACACCCACCACACACAGTGTAGACACCAGGACACACCCACCACACACAGTGTAGACACTAGGACACACCCACCACACAGTGTAGACACCAGGACACACCCACCACACAGTGTAGACACTAGGACACACCCACCACACAGTGTAGACACTAGGACACACCCACCACACACAGTGTAGACACTAGGACACACTCACCACACAGTGTAGACACCAGGACACACCCACCATACACTGTAGACACCAGGACACGCCCACCACACACAGTGTAGACACTAAGACACACCCACCACACAGTGTAGACACTAGGACACGCCCACCACACAGTATAGACACTAAGACACGCCCACCACACACAGTGTAGACACTAGGACACACCCACCACACAGTGTAGACACTAGGACACGCCCACCACACAGTGTAGACAGTAAGACACGCCCACCACACACTGTAGACACCAGAACACACCCACCACACACTGTAGACACTAGGACACACCCACCACACACAGTGTGGACACTAGGACACACCCACCACACAGTGTAGACACTAGGACACACACACACCACACAGTGTAGACACCAGGACACACCCACCACACAGTGTAGACACTAGGACACACCCACCACACAGTGTAGACACCAGGACACATCCACCACTCAGTGTAGACACTAAGACACACCCACCACACAGTGTAGACACTAGGACACACCCACCACACACAGTGTAGACACTAGGACACACCCACCACACACAGTGTAGACACCAGAACACACCCACCACACAGTGTAGACACTAGGACACACCCACCACACAGTGTAGACACCAGGACACACCCACCACACAGTGTAGACACTAGGACACACCCACCACACACAGTGTAGACACTAGGACACACCCACCACACACAGTGTAGACACTAGGACACACCCACCACACACAGTGTAGACACTAGGACACACCCACCACACAGTGTAGACACCAGGACACACCCACCACACAGTGTAGACACTAGGACACACCCACCACACACAGTGTAGACACTAGGACACACCCACCACACACAGTGTAGACACTAGGACACACCCACCACACACAGTGTAGACACTAGGACACACCCACCACACACAGTGTAGACACTAGGACACACCCACCACACACAGTGTAGACACTAGGACACACCCACCACACACAGTGTAGACACCAGAACACACCCACCACACAACAGACACTGGAAGAAAACGCACAATAAGACACAAGGGGACACCAAGGCGAGGAGAGACTGCTCCATTATGCGAGCCCCAACTTACCTTGGATGAGACCCTGGGGACAATATTTCAGAAGGAGGAACGCCTCATCGTGCCTTTTGTGGCCGCAGACTGCTCCTTCTGTGGCCACGGACTGTACTTTTGTGAGCGTCGGCTGCACGTTCGGTCGCCTGTGGCCGGAGACTCTTTTGTGGCCTCAAACCGCACTTTTGTGGCCGTAGAATACCCGTTTAATGACTTAAAACGACTGCACCACTCGTCTCTCATGGAACTTTGATACACCGCTCTCCTACTATCTCTATATCCCCACGAGATGTCGTCTTCACGCGAGATACAAGACGATCCTAGAAGTATGTGTCGATGTGCGGTGGGGAGGCCACGTGGAAAAAGGCCTGGGAGGAGCAGCGTGTACACCCTCCCTTGGCAACGGCGATGTGGTGACTGAGTAGGCGGATCTTGTACAGCCTCTCATGTACCGCCCTGCACAGACTCCGCCCACTACGCGCGCGCGCATGGACGTCCAAAAACTATAGAGAGGAACTGTGTTGTTTTCCCTTAATATACACTAATTTACCCGTTCATCCACAGAATCATAAAATCATTTTGATGTACGAAGTAACCACACATAATCTATACAAATGTTTTCGCGTTTATCATCCGATTGGTAATCAATTATGAACTTCGCCGACCTGGGACACAGATGCTTGGCCCCGCCCCCTAGCCTATCTGCCATGCATGTAGGATTCTTCCTTCGTATCCGGCAGGAGGCATTTTTCCGCGGGGATCAGGCGTGCGTCCCAAGAGGATCTCTAACGTAATTCCCTGCCGGAGCCGCCATGTACCCTGGATAACATGCGGGATTCAGGTCCCCAATACCAGGGCTTCAGGGATTCCGCCAGCACTTTTGTGTGGGAAGAGATCTTGCAACATGGCTTCAGCATTGCAACGATGTTATGACTGAAGGACCAATCGCTTTCAAGGGATATATACACCGAGAAGTATATATCTGCGTCTTGGTGTGTATATACCGAGAGATTACACTAGACCTGGACTATGCTCAGGATTAAAATACACTTGCTACTTACTAAGATATTAAGTTGGCCTTAATAAACTTCCAACACCAAACCATCAATTTCAAGAGTTCCATGAGGCTTCAGGGCTGAGGCTTCAAGGCCCGCAAAGCCCAGAGCTCCAGGGCCCCATAACTAACACCATTACAGGTCTGACATTGGTCAGGTATAATGGCTCAAATACAAAACACTTCATATAAAAATTATCAGGGTTAAAATGCATAGGCTTTATTAAGTAAATGGTAACTGCAGTATTCTTGAAGAATTACCAATATATCAGAACAAATACCAAGCTCTCAGATAAGTGACTATACACACATTAAGGCCTCAGAGGCGGACACTGAAGACTCTTGGATTAAATCGACAACACAGCGATATATATACACTTAAAAGGTGTACCTAATATATATATATATAATATATAAATATATATATATATATATATATACGTTAATATATATATATATATATATATATATATAAATATATATATATACACACTGCTTCTTGGTATATATACACTTAAGATATATATATACCTTGCCTTTCGGTGTATGTACACTGAGAGTTTCCTTCTGTCCTGAACATAATACCTGAACTATATACTTACTGGTTGGTTAATAAGCACTTGTCTTGGCCTTAATGGCCCTCCAGAGGTTGATTGGCCTTAAGCCCAACACCAGACCTATTGAAAAGACCTCAGAACCAACAACAATATGGTTTAATGGGTAAAAATATCAAGGTTCTGGGTCATTAATACCAAATATCAGGTTAAGTGATACTAAGCATGAACAGCCGACGATACCAGTGTTATCAAGGCTTCAAGTCCGACAGTGTCAAGGCTTCAAGTCCGACAGTGTTAAGGATGGAAGACGTAGACACCAAGACTTTATGACCAGTAACACCAAGACTTTATGACCAGTAACACTAAGACTTTATGACCAGTAACACCAAGACTTTGTGACCAGTAACACAAGACTTTGTGACCAGTAACACCAAGACTTTATGACCAGTAACACCAAGACTTTATGACCAGTAACACCAAGACTTTATGACCAGTAACACCCAGACTTTGTGACCAGTAACACCAAGACTTTATGACCAGTAACACCAAGACTTTATGACCAGTAACACTAAGACTTTATGACCAGTAACACAAGACTTTATGACCAGTAACACAAGACTTTATGACCAGTAACACTAAGACTTTATGACCAGTAACACCAAGACTTTATGACCAGTAACACTAAGACTTTATGACCAGTAACACCAAGACTTTATGACCAGTAACACTAAGACTTTATGACCAGTAACACAAGACTTTATGACCAGTAACACCAAGACTTTATGACCAGTAACACAAGACTTTATGACCAGTAACACAAGACTTTATGACCAGTAACACCAAGACTTTATGACCAGTAACACAAGACTTTATGACCAGTAACACAAAACTCTTAAGAGATGTAATAAAGGAGTTTCATGGCAGAAAACACGACGGCGTTCTGAGGCAGCCTTGGACGTGAGTACAAAAAACAATACCAAGGATATCAAGAACAAGATATCAAGAACAAGATATCAAGAACAAGATATCAAGAACAAGATATCAAGAACAAGATATCAAGAACAAGATATCAAGAACATGATATCAAGAACAAGATATCAAGAACATGATATCAAGAACATGATATCAATAACAAGATATCAAGAACATGATATCAAGAACAAGATATCAAGAACATGATATCAAGAACAAGATATCAAGAACAACAACGACATAAGGACAATAAGGACATCAACTGCTCGTATCAGAAAATCTAAACAGCAAAATTGTCCTGATACAAAACCTGTTGTTTAGTGACAGGAAACTCATAGTTTCGTGACTAACAATAATGATAGTAGGTCTTACAACTCCAAGGCTTCAAGGACGACATTATGGCTTCAAGGACGACATTAAGGCTTCAAGGACGACATTAAGGCTTCAAGGACGACATCAAGGCTTCAAGGACGACATTATGGCTTCAAGGATGACATTAAGGCTTCAAGGACGACATTAAGGCTTCAAGGACGACATTAAGGCTTCAAGGACGACATTAAGACTTCCAGGACGACATTAAGGTTTCAAGGGCGACATCAAGGCTTCAAGGACGACATTAAGGCTTCAAGGACGACATTAAGGCTTCACGGACGATATTAAGGCTTCAAGGACGACATTAAGGCTTCAAGGACGACATTAAGGCTTCAAGGACGACATTAAGGCTTCAAGGACGACATTAAGGCTTCAAGGACGACATTAAGGCTTCAAGGACGACATTAAGGCTTCAAGGGCGACATCAAGGCTTCAAGGACGACACTAAGGCTTCAAGGACGACATTAAGGCTTCAAGGACGACATTAAGGCTTCAAGGACGACATTAAGGCTTCAAGGACGACATTAAGGCTTCAAGGGCAACATTAAGGCTTCAAGGACGACATTAAGGCTTCAAGGACGACATTAAGGCTTCAAGGACGACATTAAGGCTTCAAGGACGACATCAAGGCTTCAAGAGCATACCCTCAAGGACGACATTAGGGCTTCAAGGACGACATTAAGGCTTCAAGGACGACATCAAGGCTTCAAGGACGACATTAAGGCTTCAAGGACGACATCAAGGCTTCAAGAGCATATCCTCAAGGACGACATCAAGGCTTCAAGGACGACATCAAGGCTTCAAGGACGACATCAAGGCTTCAAGGACGACATTAAGGCTTCAAGGACGACATCAAGGCTTCAAGGACGACATTAAGGCTTCAAGGACGACATTAAGGCTTCAAGGACGACATTAAGGTTTCAAGGACGACATTAAGGCTTCAAGAACAACATTAAGGCTTCAAGGACGACATTAAGGCTTCATGGACGACATTAAGGCTTCATGGACGACATTAAGGCTTCAAGGACAGCATTAAGGCTTCAAAAACAACAGCAAGGCTTCAAGGAAGACTGTCAGGCTTCAAAGTCGACAGTCAGGCTTCATAGAGGACAGTTATCTTGTGACTGGTCTGCGGAAGTGTTGGGCGTAAGAGCTTGTTCAGTGTGGGCGGGGTGTATTGTGTCAGGGTATGAGTGTGGGCGGGGTGTATTGCGTCAGGGTATGAGTGTGGGCGGGGTGTATTGTGTCAGGGTATGAGTGTGGGCGGGGTGTATTGCGTCAGGGTATGAGTGTGGGCGGGGTGTATTGCGTCAGGGTATGAGTGTGGGCGGGGTGTATTGTGTCAGGGTATGAGTGTGGGCGGGGTGTATTCCGTCAGGGTATGAGTGTGGGCGGGGTGTATTGCGTCAGGGTATGAGTGTGGGTGGGGTGTATTGTGTCAGGGTATGTGGGCGGGGTGAATTGCGTCAGGGTATGAGTGTGGGCGGGGTGTATTGCGTCAGGGTATGAGTGTGGGCGGGGTGTATTGTGTCAGGGTATGAGTGTGGGCGGGGTGTATTGCGTCAGGGTATGAGTGTGGGCGGGGTGTATTGCGTCAGGGTATGAGTGTGGGCGGGGTGTATTGTGTCAGGGTATGAGTGTGGGCGGGGTGTATTCCGTCAGGGTATGAGTGTGGGCGGGGTGTATTGTGTCAGGGTATGAGTGTGGGCGGGGTGTATTCCGTCAGGGTATGAGTGTGGGCGGGGTGTATTGTGTCAGGGTATGAGTGTGGGCGGGGTGTATTCCGTCAGGGTATGAGTGTGGGCGGGGTGTATTGCGTCAGGGTATGAGTGTGGGCGGGGTGTATTGTGTCAGGGTATGAGAGTGGGCGGGGTGTATTGTGTCAGGGTATGAGTGTGGGCGGGGTGTATTGTGTCAGGGTATGAGTGTGGGCGGGGTGTATTGCGCCAGGGTATGAGTGTGGGCGGGGTGTATTGTGTCAGGGTATGAGTGTGGGCGGGGTGTATTGTGTCAGGGTATGAGTGTGGGCTGGGTGTATTGCGTCAGGGTATGAGTGTGGGCGGGGTTATTGCGTCAGGGTATGAGTGTGGGCGGGGTGTATTGCGCCAGGGTATGAGTGTGGGCGGGGTGTATTGCGTCAGGGTATGAGTGTGGGCGGGGTGTATTGTGTCAGGGTATGAGTGTGGGCTGGGTGTATTGCGTCAGGATATGAGTGTGGGCAGGGTGTAATGCGTCAGGGTATGGGTGTGGGCGGGGTGTATTGCGTCAGGATATGAGTGTAGGCGGGGTGTATTGCGTCAGGATATGAGTGTAGGCGGGGTGTATTGCGTCAGGATATGAGTGTGCGCAGGGTGTAATGCGTCAGGGTATGGGTGTGGGCGGGGTGTATTGCGTCAGGGTATGAGTGTGAGCAGCCGTGCGTCCTGCCCTGAGCGCGGGCGAGCGGGTGGGTGGGCGGGCGTCCAGGCCTGAGCGCGGGTGGGCGGGCAGCCGTCCAGGCCTGAGCGCGGGCGGGCGGGCAGCCGTCCAGGCCTGAGCGCGGGCGGGCGTCCAGGCCTGAGCGCGGGCGGGCGGGCGGGCGTCCAGGCCTGAGCGTGGGCGGGCGTCCAGGCGTGGGCGGGCGTTCAGGCCTGAGCGCGGGCGTCCAGGCCTGAGCGCGGGCGTCCAGGCCTGAGCGCGGGCGTCCAGGCCAGAGCGAGGGCGGGCGTGCGGGCGGGCGTCCAGGCCTGAGCGCGGGCGGGCGGGCGTCCAGGCCTGAGCACGGGCGGGCGGGCGTCCAAGCCTGAGCGCGGGCGGACGGGCGGGGTGTAGTACAGACGCGTGTCTTGTGATACCCAATTTCGACACCGCACTATCTTAACATTATGGCGCCTCGGGGACCAATAAACACAAACACAAGTTCTTTTTAATTACTATCGCGTTACTTGGGCCGCACCAGTCATAATGGGACTGTGTGTGGCCCGCGAGCGGTGACGCAACACCCGCTGGAGGCTGTGTACCAGACGCGAGCGGTGACGCAACACCCGCTGGAGGCTGTGTACCAGACGCGAGCGGTGACGCAACACCCGCTGGAGGCTGTGTACCAGACGCGAGCGGTGACGCAACACCCGCTGGAGGCTGTGTACCAGACGCGAGCGGTGACGCAACACCCGCTGGAGGCTGTGTACCAGACGCGAGCGGTGACGCAACACCCGCTGGAGGCTGTGTACCAGACGCGAGCGGTGACGCAACACCCGCTGGAGGCTGTGTACCAGACGCGAGCGGTGACGCAACACCCGCTGGAGGCTGTGTACCAGACGCGAAGTTTTCATGAATTAATGCTTTTTTCGTGTACCAGACCTAGCGGTAACCTAACCCGCTGGAGGCTGTGTACCAGACGCGAGCGGTGACGCTATATATATAGCTGGAGGCTGTGTACCAGACGTTCGATATATGACGCAACACCCGCTGGAGGCTGTGTACCAGACAAATGGAGCTTTTTTTGTAAGAAAAAATATAGTAAAAATTAACTCGGCCTCGAAAATCGGGCCTTGAAAACTACTCGAAAGTGAGTTCTGGCTACTATATATATATATATATATATATATATATATATATATATATATATATATATATATATAATTTAACTCTCCAAAATTTATTTTTACCATTTCATTTGACCTGCCGCTAAGAGATGCGTTTCGTTAACTCTGGTTAACATTATCAAAGGCAGAGTTCGAAGGATTACAAAGTTTGCTGCTGTTGGTCATGTAGACGAAGATGAGGTGAAGGTCAAACACCATACTCATGAGCCGGACGGGTCCATTCCATCTTACTAATCTCCTGTGTTCCCATGATGACTGGTGCAGTATGCTGTGTGTGTTCCGTCGTGTTCTGGACGTTGGTGGCAGAGTGTAATGTGGTAGTAGTTGGCTATTGGTGCGTGGCTTTGTGTGCTGTATCTATAATGTCTCGCACATGTCCAATCTTCTGTTGTCGCTGTATCTCTCCATTATTTTGGTGTTGTTTGTGAGTATATCTCTGGTGATGGTCTGGTGATGTGTAGAGATTATAGGCTCTGTTATAGGTCCTTGCTCCTTGTGCATTGTTAGGCTTCTTGAAGATGTTGTTGTCTTGCCTATATATTGGATACGTTGGGGCTGACAGTTCCTAAGTAGTCATGTGAAGGTATAAACAACATTCGTCTCTTTCAAGGTGTTTGTTTGGCTTGAGGAGAGTTCTACATGATCAAGTTGGCGGTTGTTTTAGTTAGCTACTTGGAACTACAATTTTCGTGTAGCACGGGCTATGGCGACCCCGTAAAAATTGGCGGGTGTCATGCTCTTATAAATAGGAGCATATTCCTCGTATTCACCCGATATGAGTCGTTACTCAGGTGTATTTGTGGTATATAACTCAACTATGTCATCGCGTCAAGGATCCGGGCAATGAAACCTTACTATGTATGGGAATATTAAATAAGCACTAAAAGTTAAATATTTCTCGCAGGTTAGTTAATCCAAAACACGCTTGTACCTTCATCAATTTGACTGTAAACACTACGATTACATACACACAAAATTAGTCTAGAAATAAATCTCAGGCACGCGTCAAAGAATACAGTAAATTACATATAATGTAATATCTTGAAAAGGAACCGTGTAACCACATCAAAACTAACGAGATATAATTAATAAACTCCACACACTAAAATATATCATTCAACCAATCACCATACCACTAGTTGAGGATATTCAAACACAGGACACCAGGCTAGGGCGGCAGACGTAGCTTAGTCCTCCTTATAATATAAGTAAACATCATAGCCTCATCCACAACTTATACCTTATATTTATTTATACCGGCAATACGACCCCTCTGCTCACCACTACTCAAGAGCACTCCATTCACCAGATCTCTAACCCTGTCTATGTATAGAGGACGGAAGAAAAATATATATGTGCTGTATCACATTGCATCAAAGTCTGTAGTAGAAAAGAAACTAAACTAAAAAATCAAATAATACTCGCCAAATGCTTGACCAAATGGTCTCATTTGTATCATTTTTAAAGCTCTTGAGTTGTTGATTATATGCAATGTCCTGAATGCTTCTCGGATGTGGTGCAGTTGCATCTACCTGCCAGGATGACTCATTAGCTAAATCAAAGAGCTCACATAGTAACGGTATAAGTTACTCGTAACGTATAACGTAAGTATGAGTGCTATCTTAACTGCCGCTTCCCCTAAAAAAAAATTTGAATCACATAAATAAAGCCTAATCTCATCCTCATTATAAAAATTTCAGATGTAATAGCCTCAATAAAATGTATTTCTACCGTCTCTCGTCTCAATATCAGATGCGTAGAAGACTCAAAGACAGTTGAAAAGTGTTCCACTAAACTGTGGCAATCGTAGTTATGTAAATACATTGATTGATGAGGATTAAGCCACCCAAGAGGTGGCACAGGCATGAATAGCCCGTGATAGTAATGTGAATACATTTAGTGAGTAAATATATATATCCCTTCCCCTCTTTTGTTACAAACACAGATCACCTCACTCACTCACTCCTCACACACTCACTCACTCACTCACTCACTCACTCACTCACTCACTCACAATCTCGCCTTACCACTCATTCCCCCAGGGACTTTAAATATGCAAACAACCTCATTGTTGGGAGGGCAAGTGAGAGAAAGGACTCGAGTCCCGCCCAGGCTTCCCGCGCGCGGGCCTCCCCGCCCAGCCAGTCAACATTCATATTTTTCCTCACACAAACGCCCACCTCCCTTCGGGACAAACACAATAATTAGCACGCCAAGGGAAGGCTGCTTTGTTTTGCTTCTCCCTATTTATTTATCGAATTGTTTGATTTCCCATTTACTTGCTGGCGTATTTGCCTGCCGGTTTCTGAACCTGCCTACCTCGACCTGCTTCCCTTCCTGCCTGCCTCCCTACCTATCTGCCTCCCTACTTGTCTGTCTTTTCCCTACTTTCCTGCCTGTCTTCCCCCCTACTAGCCTCTTATCTTTATACGTTTATGCAGGACAGACGTAAATATGTGATAAGAATTCTGTTTAGCTTTGATTAACATATTAATCCTCCAAAAAATGTGTACTATAATAGCTTTTAATCATAGAATAATATAAAATAAATCTCTATGAGAAGAGTTCTCTGTTCAGCTTTGATTAACAAATTAACGAGCGTTTTATATCTTATGTGAACCCGGGTAGGCTATGGTGGTCCCAACACCATAACCCCCATAAGAAACAATTGAGAGACTGAATTAACCTCCAATCCTTTCTTACGTAGTATACAATTAAAGTAAATTAACCAGTTTTTTATTAAACAAATTGAATTAATTTTGTTAATTTAAATTCATACATAAAAGGAGCTCAATGTTCCGAATAAATATATAATACGAAAGATTCTCGTGCGCTCGGGAGGAGACCAGACTCACGCACGATTCTCTCCAAATGAGACGCTATTACATCGTGATTATACACCGTCATCATACACCAGAATCATACACTGCGATCATACACCACTTGTTATTTAACGGCCGTTTGGCAACGTCTAGGGCCTAAAAATTGTTGAGTATATAGTTTCGGCCTGCTATAGTTTCTAGCCTATTCATGGGAGCTAAAGGAGTGTACGGCCCGGTTACGACGTATTAATACAACACACGGCTGTGTAAGCCGCCTCCTTGTCTAAACCTAAATTGAATTTTGATTAATAAGCTTATATCTTGATTACTAATTAAGTGGTTCTAATAGTGAAATTCCACTTAATTCCATAATTCAGAAACCAGCGCAAGCGGTCAATTAAAACAAAAAATTAGGATTAAGAAGGGGTCAGGATAAGGATTTGGGATGGGACGAGGGAAAGGAATGGTGCCCAACCACTTGTGGATGGTCGGGGATTGAACGCCGACCTGCATGTAGGGAAACCGTCGCTCTACCGTCCAGCTCAAGTGGTTGGACTACATATCACTGAAGCTAAGAATTATTACAACAAATTTCCCACAAGCTTTCTTTACACTGTTCTTATGTCTTGTCTCTTCTCCACACTGCTCACTATTATACTCACTGAGTATACTCACTGAGTATACTCACAGGAGTATACTCACTGAGTATACTCACTGAGTATACTCACAGGAGTATACTCACAGGAGTATACTCACTGAGTATACTCACAGGAGTATAACTCCCACCACCAACTGGTGTGAGTCATACATAGTGGTGGTGTTATAGTGCTTGATAAAGATTAGGCCACCCAAGAGGTGGCACGGGCATGAATAGCCCGTAATGTTATAGTGGTGTTGTCCTCGATATATATATATTTGTGGCGAATACTTAGTGGGGGTGTATGGGCGCTCTAGCACCTCTCCAACCATCCCCGGATCTCCCCCCTCTATTCTTTCTCCCTTCTCTATCCCCTCCTGCCCCCTACTCGTCTCCAAGAGCGGCTCGACAAAGGCTGATAATGACTTCAAGAGCCTGCAGGCCCGCCTGGCGTTCGGCCGACGAACGCTAATGTTGTTACCTGTGCCTGGACGGACCTCCGCCCGCCTCAGAATACTAATGTTATTTACCCGCTACACAGACGTGGTGCTCAGAGCTGTTCTTCTTCTCTACCCTGGTGGGTGGGGAGTGTCACATGTGACTTCCTAGACATATGTTCCCTTTGATATGGTACAGGAAGGCACATATGTGACTATCTACATCCATATGCTAACCGCTTTCCACATACCTACCACCATCTTCACCCGCCACCACCGGGCCAAAACAAACAGCGACTCCTCGTCACCAAAGATTCCTCCGCAGTTTCTTCCCCAAGTGTTATTTTGACGTCATTATTCCCTTGGTCTAACTTGCCAGTCTTCCTATTGAGAGTGATATCGTCTATGAATATTAATTGAGCCCACCACAATGGTCGACTCTAAAGGCGTCTTCTTTGTCAAGCTCATCCTCCTGGTGCTGTGAGGCTTCTCTCTCCACACTTTGGCCTGCAGTTGGCGAGGCTTGTGGGGGCTGTTACTGCAGTTGGCGTGGCTTGTGGGGGCTGTTGCTGCACTTGGCGAGGCTTGGTGGAGGCTGTTGCTGCAGTTGGCGAGGCTTGTGGGGGCTGTTGCTGCAGTTGGCCAGGCTTGTGGGGGCTTTTGCTGCAGTTGGCGAGGCTTGTGGGGCTGTTGCTGCAGGTGGCGAGGCTTGTGGGGGCTGTTGCTGCAGTTCGCGAGGCTTGTGGGGCTGTTGCTGCAGTTGGCGAGGCTTGTGTGGGCTGTTGCTGCAGTTGGCGAGGCTTGTTGGGGCTGTTGCTGCAGTTGGCGAGGCTTGTTGGGGCTGTTGCTGCAGTTGGCGAGGCTTGTGGGGGTTGTTGCTGCAGTTGGCGAGGCTTGTGGGGGTTGTTGCTGCAGTTGGTGAGGCTAGTTGGGGCTGTTGCTGCAGTTGGCGAGGCTTGTTGGGGCTGTTGCTGCAGTTGGCGAGGCTTGTTGGGGCTGTTGCTGCAGTTGGTGAGGCTTGTTGGGGCTGTTGCTGCAGTTGGCGAGGCTTGTGTGGGCTGTTGCTGCAGTTGGCGAGGCTTGTTGGGGCTGTTGCTGCAGTTGGCGAGGCTTGTGGGGCTGTTGCTGCAGTTGGCGAGGCTTGTGGGGCTGTTGCTGCAGTTGGCGAGGCTTGTTGGGGCTGTTGCTGCAGTTGGGGAGGCTTGTTGGGGCTGTTGCTGCAGTTGGCGAGGCTTGTTGGGGCTGTTGCTGCAGTTGGTGAGGCTTGTTGGGGCTGTTGCTGCAGTTGGTGAGGCTTGTTGGGGCTGTTGCTGCAGTTGGCGAGGCTTGTGTGGGCTGTTGCTGCAGTTGGCGAGGCTTGTTGGGGCTGTTGCTGCAGTTGGCGAGGCTTGTTGGGGCTGTTGCTGCAGTTGGCGAGGCTTGTTGGGGCTGTTGCTGCAGTTGGCGAGGCTTGTTGGGGCTGTTGCTGCAGTTGGTGAGGCTTGTTGGGGCTGTTGCTGCAGTTGGCGAGGCTTGTTGGGGCTGTTGCTGCAGTTGGTGAGGCTTGTTGGGGCTGTTGCTGCAGTTGGCGAGGCTTGTTGGGGCTGTTGCTGCAGTTGGTGAGGCTTGTTGGGGCTGTTGCTGCAGTTGGCGAGGCTTGTGGGGCTGTTGCTGCAGTTGGCGAGGCTTGTGTCTGCTCTTTCAGCAGGCGATGCCTACGCAGCTTCCCTGACCATAGTTCTGCCGAAATGGAAGATTGCTTCTCTAATTTATTTGGTTTTCCTGGTTTGGTCCAGAGCAGTGAACGTGAATTCATTCCGCTTACAGTAATACGTCTTTTGAGAGAGAGAGAGAGAGAGAGAGAGAGAGAGAGAGAGAGAGAGAGAGAGAGAGAGAGAGAGAGAGAGAGAGAGAGGGGGGAAGGGAGGTGGAGAATATGAAATTATCACAATCACGCAGCCTATCATATAGCATTTAAGCACCAAGAAAGTAAATCCATAGACACTAAACAATTTGTTCTTTACCAGGTATTTACCTGATGAATCTCTTGACCGGTCATGTACTGTGGATAAGCTATCTCTCGCTGTTATCTAGGACACGCTATCTCTCGCTGATATCTGGACACGTATCATAATATACGGAGCACGTAATGCATTCATAGCCTCGTGCATCTTGAAATTTACGATTCTTCTCTTAATTTTATTTTGCAGGATATAAATTAGATAAGTTTAGATTCAGTAAGGGCCTGGGTAAATACTAAGCTGGAAATAGGGTGAATTTAACATGTCATGTATGACAAACCATTTCCAGTAATCACTGGACTTAACATGTCATGACAAACCATCCTCACCCTAATTTCCGGGTAAGAAAATAAACGTAGGATCACGCGATTGTTTTAAGCGTAGGTTAGACATGTATATGAATGAGTTTGGTGGATATATAAATAGCAGCTGCCTCGTATGGATCAATAGGCTTTCTGCCGTTTCCTTCATTCTTGTGTTGTCATGTTTTAAAACACAGCTCCACATGATATCAAAGCCATATCAGAAAATGAAGAAATGACGACGTTTCGGTCCATCCTGGACCATTATCATGTCCCAAGACGGACCGAAACGTGGTCATCTTTCCATTTCTGATGTTTAGTTTGGCCATCATATCTTCAGCCAGGTTACTTTAACTCATTCGTTCGTTCACATGAACGCTACCTTGCTAGGACGAAATGGTTGGCTATCACCTCGAACCCGGGATTCGAAACCCGGGTTCGATCCCGGACGAGACAGAAGTGATTAGGCGCCTTTCCTTTCACCTCATGCCAAACTCGCCGTACAATAGGTATCATACACTGCAAGGTCATTTGTGAGTAAGATAAATCCGTTGATTTCAATAGCACATCACAATCTCACTTCCCTTTCTCACAGTGCCTCGCAACTAGGCTACTCGAACATTATAATTACTTGATGAGTCTGCCAGAACTCAAGTTACTTTCATGCCTTGCTATCTAACTTAACTTTACATGCAGAGACGAGGCTCACCCAGCTTAGCCTTAGCGGGCTAAGCTGGGTGACGCGGCTCACCTTAGCTTAGTTAATGTCTTCATTAACTCGATGCAAATGACTCCTATAGAGTTCAGTATTAGGCAACTCCATGCGACTTTTACGTCTCTCTCTCCAGACTTCGATCTCCTTTACCCAATTCCCTTCCACAAGGGCTCAAGATAGCTAGCTATCCGAAGGATAACTGTTGTAAAAATCGTCCGAAACAATTCGCAGCATTCAGAAAGAAAAAAACACATTCGACAGCCACAATGGCTCTCAGGATAGGCTCCTGAATCTAGCATACAATATGGAATCTCAATTTCTCAACAAATAAGGCCTCGTTTATTGCTTAACAGTCATAAAGAGAGTCTCGAACTCTATCGAACTGGATGCAATACCACAGAGCCACTTTGTGTGTCAAAACTCTAGGATAAGGTTCAGATTGTATTCAAGAGATGAAACATCTTGGAAGGTATGTTCCACATCTGATCGTTAACTCGTTTTACTTTCACCCTGATTGGCTGCAACAGCTTCAACAAAACAGCATCAGCAGCAACAGCTTCAGCAGCAACAGCCTCAGCAGCATCAGAATCAGCAGCAGAATCAGCAGCAACAGCCTCAGCAGCAACAGAATCAGTAACAGCCTCAGTAGCAACAGCCTCAGCAGCAATAGCCTCAGCAGCAACAGCTTCAGCTTCAGCAACAGCAGCAGGACCAGAGGAAGTTGGTGGCGCGGTATCAGGGCCACCGGAAGCCTAGTGTTGTCGGCTGGGTGCCAGCTACTCATCAGAGATACCTGCCTGCGCGGTGGGCGCCGTCAGGGAGGTGGCGTGGCCCCCAGGCTCCCCGCGCCTCCTGATTGTCTCCCGCTGGGCCACGACAAAGGGCGAGGGCGAGGCTGTCATATCTCGCAGGAGGTGACGACGACCCTCCTGTACGGCTGCCATAATGACATTTCCGACGGGTGGAAGGGAAGAGAGAGAGAGAGGGAGTAAGTAGCGATGGAAGGAATGTCTGTAGGTATGGAAATGTTGTTCCATCATATTATGGTGTGGGTTTGGTGGTATGGAAGCGTACCATCCGTGGGTATATCCAAAGGAAATGCCCTTCCTAACCAACTTGATTTTGATTGGGAAAGGAGGTAACCAAGCAGCCCTTCCTCCTACGGTTTCCCAACGTCCAGAAACTGTCGTACTAAAGTGCCCCCTTATCCTTACCTACCAGAGGACCCAAAACAGAAAACGGGACAGTACGTCACTTTCGCCAACCGCTTCTATCTTCTAGTACAAGAAATTTTTGACCATATGTAACGCCTACGATCAAAAAGCGACGTTTTACAATTATTATTTTATTGCTATTACAACCATCACTACTAATGTTTTATTGCTACTAGCGCTGTAGTCTTAATACTGGCACTGCTACCAGTACTCCTGTTGTTGTTGTATATACGGTTTTATATATGGATAATATAAGTAACAATATTAGTAATAAAATAATAAAAATATTAAACGTTTATTGCATTTATAAATATATAATACAAAATATTAATTTAATGAAATATAATCAAATATTAACTCAATTTTGTTGTATTGTGTTAATAACTGTATTTAGTTATTGAAGTAATTACTACTTTAATAACTAAATACAGTAATAGTCAGTCAGAGGCTTAGGACCGCGCAGGATTATCCCTGAAAACAAATATTAAGGTCTCTACTGTTTATACATTTTTTCACGACTGTGTGTTTACAAAATTAAAAAACACTATTAATTTATAAAGTAAACAAATAATATTAATATTGGGTATTATCATTCTGCTTTATATATAACAAAAATAATAACAATTATGATATTACACTTGAAAGAAAATGACAAGGCAGACAATATTAATAGTTATACATCCAACGATATTAACAGATGTTATAATTAGAATCTGAAACATTTAACTGTTTTTTTAATGGAAGTTGTACAAATTATAGCACAGAATTAGATTGACGAGGCTTGCGTAGCCTAAAATTTATATACCTGAAGTAATTTGCGCAGCCTCTTATTCACTTGTAGTGTATTGCACCTCTCGACCACTGTGATTACAAAAGCATATTTAAGAGTATATTAACGACACGTGCTCCGCAAGAAATATATAGCGTAACAAATAGAATCTGTTGACTGCATGGTGGAACCTCCATGCCTGGCATATAACTCTGGTCAACACAGTCTTTGATGATATATGTGTGAAACAAATTTCTGACTAATTTGGTGGCGCTGAACTCAAATATCACATTGCTTTTTGCCTGTCACGGCAAGTTTTTGATCTACAGCACATCACCATTTTCGATCAGTCGCCATAAATCAACCTGGCTGCCTACAAAGAACCCTCCATTTCAATCATATGCTTTACATAAAGCCAAAAATTGTCGTACTAGAAAATGAAAGCGGGTGGCGAAAGTGACGGACTGTCCCGTTTTTTGTTTTGGGTCCTCTGGTAGGTTGGGATAAGGACACTTTAAATAGACCGCTTTCTTGAGGTTGAGGGACCTTAGGAGGACAGGCAGCATACAAAGGAACCCGGATACAATGAGTTCTGCAATCACCTCAAGCCTATCCTTACCAATATAGATTCGTAACTAAAATCTATTATCTCAGGATCAACTTTATTATATAAGTTGAATCTAATTGTGTACTCACCTAGTTGTGCTTGCGGGGGTTGAGTGGTTGTTTGGCCCCGCCTCTCAACTGTCAATCACTGAAGCTGAGAGAGCAACTTTTTTCAAGTTGCAAAGGACACCGCCCTGAACGTATCTGTGTACTCGGCTAGTTGTGCTTGCGGGGGATTGTGCTTTGGCTCATTGGTCCCGTGTGCGTGTGCTTGTGTGTGTGTGTGCGTGCGTGTGAGTGTGCGCACGCGTGCTTGTGTGTGTATCAGGACGGTGTGTGAGCAACGCCGCTCAAATCCCTCAATTTAATTAAAAGATGAAACTGATAGCGTCTGTCTTTCTTGGCGTCATTGTCTCTCCGCGTCACCCTCCCACTACTGATTATCACCAACTCACCCGTCAGCAGCCTCATGTTGGCGACGGGTGTTGGTGACGGGTGTTGAGGGAACTTGTTGTTGCAGGTGTTGGTGGTGGTGGTAGCTGAGTACTCTGCTTGCAGTTAGCTTAATCCACACATCCACCTAATCAAATGATAATGCATATACTCAAGGCTATCGCTAGACTTACAAACTAGGTAATATAATAATAGTATATTGGCCCTTGTATAATCATTGGACTAGGGCAGGTATATTAAAAATGTTAAAATATAAGCAATAAAACAACGTGTTGAAGGAACAAAAGCCTATCGGGTTACCTTGGTCAACTGACTGGGGTACACGGCCCCAGTTTTATACATAACAACAGCACATGGGTTGCTCTCTCAGCTTCAGCACTGCTACCACCTTCATCTGAAGCCCACAAGCAATCCAGTTGGGACAGTCCCATTGCAGACAGCAGTTGTCTGGATGCTGCAACATTATCATGTGAGATGGCTCGCCTCCTAACAGTGGCAGCTTCCCAAGTGGGTGACATTCAACTATCGAACCGCGTTCGAAAGTGGCATGCATTCTACATCATAAGCCCTTTCGACTTGCAGTGACTTTCTGGTTTGCTGCCACCAAACCAAACTGAATACTGGAGTATTTACAGCAAGGCAGAGACAATCAGCATGGCTTGCTCTGCACACAGGGGTCTAGTAATTTTAACAATAAAGTTAAAATATTATTAAGAGGAGCCTTACCACAGTTGGT